TGACAGATACTGGATACTAGAATGTATCAGATATGACAAAGAGCAGCCCTATCCTGTAAGCATATTAATTATTTAATAAACGCTAATGTCAGTTAAGAGCTGTCCACATCCCAAGTAACCAGATGGTGAAGTGGACTTGTTTTTGTTGTGGTGATTGTTGTTTACCCCTTTTCAGATGCAGTTTATTGTGCCTAAAGGTGTGCATGTGTGTGTGTTGATCTGTTGTACTTCTCTAGACAGCTGTAAGAAATTCAGCTAACAAGTGAAAGCTGACTGGAGTACCTACAGTATGTGTCACCCAGAATTGGTTGAGATAAGCACAATTTAAATTTGGAACTTTTGAGTAGTTAATATAGCTGTTACTTGAACACCCAACTTCACTGGTATCTGAATTTCAGTTCCATTTTTTAACATATCACTACATTCTCTGCAGTTAAGAATTCAGGTAAGTAGTAATGTTGGAAAGGCATTTGAAGCCTATTAAGAATAGATGTGTTACAGGAGCTGTGTCATTCATAACCTTCATGCAAAGTCTTTGTGAATCTTTTCTTAGACTTCAGCTACCTTTTGATTGCTGCTGTGATCATGAGTCACAAGTGAGATAATAATTTGTTGATTCAGACTGTGTTTGCCTTCTAGTAGTCCTTAGGCATTGAAGTTCAGATAGAATCTTTTTGCTGTTAAATTCACTAAACCTGAAATTAATAGAGGTTTGGGTTGATTTTTTTTGTCACTAATCATGTTAATATGAATACAATAGGTGTTTTACAAAAGTCTTAATTAGATTTAAGCCATCTCTTAAATAGAAATAAAAGGACTCTCTAAATTGTGTTTAACTCTTATGTTTTACAAAAATCGCTTCTAACTTCTTGGTTTTATAGAGATTTTAAGAGGAAAGAGTTTAAGCCCTATTACTAGAGGAGTATTTTTTTATAATTGTGCTACTTAGTTTTCCAGCCTATTATTTCTAGCATGTTGTAAATCACTAATACATGCATTCTTTGTGATAACTTCAGACTTTTCTACAAACTCTTTAGAATTTCACCAGAAGTAAATATATAGTGCTTCATTTTTATGCAGGTCAGATTAATCAAAGTTATGCCTACATGGTACCACAATGGGACAGTGTAAAGACTTGAATTAGCACATTCCAGTAAAATGTCATGTAGACATACCTGTGACATATTGTTTTAATACTAAGAATTTGAGACAGATTATCTCCACCCTTTTGTTTAAGCCATTATCTCTCTTGATATCTAGATCTAAAAATGAAAAATGATAATTCTATACACATGCACCTGGGGAAGCAAGAAAAGCTGTTGTGATGGCTTAAAAGACAATTGATTGTGTTTTCTTTCTTACAGAAAATGCCAGAAGCCTCAGAAGACCATAACCATCGGAAGGCCTGTTGACTTCCATTTTTTGGTAATCTGGAACATCATCAATCTGGCATGGCGCAGAGCAGTCAACAACTCGATGTGCAGGTACTCCATGATCTCCGACAACGTTTCCCTGAGATACCTGAAGGAGTGGTATCTCAGTGCATGCTTCAGGTATGGTAAAGAGTTTTTAAGAATCTGTGTATTTTATTTTGGTAGTATGAAAATTATTTTTAGTAGTATACATGCAGCATAATTTTCATTCTTCTGGTTTTATTTTGAAAGGGTGAAAGACTCCACTACTTGCATATTTATCCTGTCTTTCATGTACGAAGATTTTTATCATTCCTCACTTGTGTTTGTGGGTGGGTTTCTGCTGTCTGTTTTTCCTCGTCTACATGACTTTTGACTACACAAACAAGAAATAAGGAAAGTGGTTAATGGGATTATTGTTGATGATGGCTACATAAAAAACATGTATATACTGGAGGAGATTTTAACAGACTAGGACTCATTCTTCCAGGATGCGAAACTGTCTTTAGCTGAGAATCTAAAAGTCTTCTGTCTTCATGGCAACTTTGTGCCACAGCTGTCCAAAGGCTTCTTTTTTACTTCGGTTTCCCAAGTCAGGTGGCAGTTTCTGACCCCCCCACTTTCCATGTCTTCCTTCCACCTTAATCACAAATTGGAAGTAATAGTAATTGCACATAATCATTTTTTGAAGTCGTTATCATCTGGGAATACCTTCCATTAATGGGAAGGTTCAAGAGGGGAATAGAAACATGTAATACCTGTTTTGGCCTTTTGTGACTGTGGCTAAGGTGGAACCTAATGTGATAAACTGCTGTGTATGAATGTAGCAAAGCTGTATTTGCATCCTGCCTGTACCCTGGCAGAAAAGTAGCTTTATTTACAGCTGTGGCTGTAATTTTTGCATTATGTGTCTTCTGAACCATACCAATTAATTGCCATTGTCTGATAGTAGCAGTTAACTTTTTTGAGATTGTCTTGGCACTGTGGTGATGGTTGTTATTACAAGGTCTGATTCCCACATCTTCTGGTTCTAAATCTTTCTGTGATACATCTGGATGTTCTGATTGACCCCTGGGATCTAGAAGGGGCACTTGACATGAAAGGGAAGTAGTCAGGGAAAAGTATACATAGAGTGAGAGCTGAACATAATTAAGTGCTGAATTCTTCTGTCATGCTCAGTAGCAAGTCTTCATCTGAGAAGATGCTGAGTATGTGTGTTGGTCCAATAGTGAAATAATTTGAAATTTTGGGACAGTCATCTTCACTTTAATATTAAGACTGAGTAGGTATCAGTCCTTTAGAAAATAAATGTAACTGACTTTTCAACCGAGTAGGCTGCTGAAAATTGTATTGCAAGGCCACATGACTGTTAATATATATACAAACTTTATATAGGGATAATGTTTTAGATAGAAGTGAAGCCATTATCAATGTTTATTCCTTAGAATGGTAGTCTTAACACACTGAGGAAGGTGGAGGTGTTTGTGTGTATATGTAAGTATGCACATACTTGTTCTGGCAGGAGGTGCTGTATGTCACAGAAGGTATCAGTTTTGGATCACATGTTACTAAGGGTGCTAAGGGCTAGATGAGGGTGGAGGCAAGGACAGGTAGCCTGGAAGGAATACAAAGAAGTTGTCTGAGTATTCAGGGGTCAGGTTAGGAAAGCTGAGGCCCAGATAGGACTAAATCTGGCCACAGACATCAAGGGTAACAGTAAAAACTTTGGCAGGTATGTCAGTAATAAAAGGAAGACTAGGGAAAATGTGGGAAAACAGGAGACCTGGTCATGTGGGATATGGAGAAAGCTGAGGTACTGAACAACTTTTTTGCCTCAGCCTTCCCCAGCAAGGGCTGTAGCCACACCACCCAAGTTGCAGAAGGCAAAGGCAGGAGATGGAGTATCTGCCCGGTGTAGGAGACAAGGATGTTCAGACTACCTAAAGAACCTGAAGATGCACAAATCCATGAGACCTAATGACATCTATCTGCAGGTCCTGAGGGAACTAGTGGAGAAAGTTGCAAAGCCACTTTCCATCATATTTGAAAAGTCATGGCAATCCATTGAAATTCCCACTGTCTGTAAAAGGGGAAACAGAACCCTTGTTTTCAAAAAGGGAAAAAAAGAACTGGGGAACTACAGACAAGTCAGTTTCAGCTCTGTGCCTGGCAGGATCATGGAGTAGATTCTCCGGAAGGCTCTGCTAAGGCACATGGAAAATAAGAAGGTGTTTGGTGGCAATCAGCATGGTTTCACCAAGAGAAAATTATAGAATCATAAAATGGTTGGAAGAAACCTTAAAGATCATTTAGTTCCAACCCCCCTGCATGGTCAGGGACATCTCCCACTAGATCAGGTTGCTCAGAGCCCCATTCAACCTGGTCTTGAACACTGCCAGAGATGGGGCTTCCACAACTTCCCTGGGCAACCTGTTGCAGTGTCTCACCACCCTCACACTAAAGAATTTCCTCCTAATGTCTAATCTAAATCTCCCCTCTTCCAGTTTTGAACCATTACACCTTGTCCTCTCACTACAAGCCCTTGAAAAAAGTCCCTCCCCAGCTTTCCTGTAGGCCCCCTTCAGGTACTGGAAGACTGCTGTAAGGTCTCTTCAGAGCCTTCTCTTCTCCAGATGGGACAGCCTCAATTTGCTCAGCCTGTCTTTGTAGGGGAGGTCCTCCAGCCCTCACCTTCATGGCCCTTCTCTGGACTTTCTTCATAAGCTCCATGTCCTTCTAATGTTGGAGGCCCCAGCATTGGACACAGTACTCCAGGTGGGGTCTCATGAGAACTGAGTAAAGGGGGAAAATCACCTCCCTTGACCTGCTGGCTATGCTGCTTTTGATGCAGCCCAGGACACGGTTGGCTTTCTGGGCTGCAAGCCCAAATTGCCACCTCATGTTGAGCTTCTTGTCCAGCATCACCCCTGAATCCTTCTCCTCCAGACTGTTTACAATCCATTCTCCACCCAACCTGTATTTGTGCTTGCCATTGCCCCTACCCAGGTGCAGGACCTTGCACTTGGCCTGGTTGAATTTAATGGAGTTTGCACGAGCCTGTTTTTCAAGCCTGCCAAGGTCCCTCTGAGTGGCATCCCTTTCTGCCAGTGTGTAGACCTCACCACACACTTTGGTGTCATCAGCAAACTTGCTGAGGGTGCACTCAATGCCACTATCCATATCCTCAACAAAGATGTTAAATAGCACCCGTCCAAGTATTGACCCTTGGGGAACACCACTCCTCACAGGTCTCCATTTGGACATTGAGCTCCTGATTACCGCTCTTTGACTGCAACCATCCAGCCAGTTCTTTACCCAACAGGTAGTCCATCCATCAAATCTTTATCGTTCCAGTTTCGATACCATGATGTTATACGGGACAGTGTCAAAGGCTTTGCGCAGCTCCAGATAGATGACGTCAGTTGCTCTGCCTTTTTCCACCGATGCCATGACCCCATTAGTCAGGCAGGATTTGCCCTTGGTGAAGATGTGATGGCCATCACCTTTAACCCCTTTGTTATCCACATGCCTTAGCAGAGCCTTCAGGAGGATCTAATGCATGATCTTACTTGGGCACAGAGGTGAGACTGACTCATGTGTGACAAATTTGGTGGCCTTTTCTGATGGGGTCACATCATTGGCAGACAAGATAATAGCAACTGACATCATCTACCTGAATTTCTGCAAAGCGCTTGGCACTGTTTTGCTGACATACTTTTGGAAAAGCTATAATTTGTATTGTTCTTTTAACAAAACTAGAACTGGAATTGCCAGTACTTTTTCAAGCAATACTTATTCTGACTTCATTTTTGAGGCACCAGATTTTGTTTTACCAAGAGAAGCTTGTTTAAAATACTGGGCTTTAAAACTTTTCATTAAAGAGAAAAACTTAGGTAAACAGTAAAATAAAGGTGAAAATAGTAGACACTCAGGCATTAAAATATCATCTGTATTCTAGTTTTGACTTTCCAGAGTTTGTGATTTTGATCTAGTTTAATTTTGTGTTGTTATTAGATGTAGTTAAGTGTATTTACGTGTTCTTTGCAGAAGATGCCTAGAGTTCTAAGCATTGCTTTCCCCAAAAATGGAATTGATTTTTTTTTATTATTTTTTTTTTTTTTTAGTATGTGATACTGTAGCTAGTGTTATGATAGCATTTTACTAGATACAGTGTGAGCTATGTAGTACTTGCCTACTATGACCTAGTAGGCATTACCTGTATTTGAAAATTCATGTCTTTGAAATGTTATCCCTAGTTGTGCTTAAGCTAGGCTGGATTGCAGCTTCAGTTGAATGCTTGTTGAACACTGAGTAGTGGCTTTTTCTTTTGATGTTTGATAATAATAGGTGTCAATTCTTACTTCTAGAACAACAACAACCTGGATGCCTGTTGTCGAGCCCTTGCACAAGAGAGCAACAAATACTTATATATGGAGTACCATAGCCCTGATGACACCAGAATGAATAGAAATAGCCTTTTGCACATTAATCTGGGTATTCATCCTCATACCAGCTATCATGCAGGGGATGGAGCTCAACTTAATGGTGGTCGTACACTGGTACACAGTTCAAGCGATGGACATATTGATCCACAACGCACAGCAGGTAAACAGCTGATATGCTTAGTTCAAGAACCACATTCTGCTCCTGCTGTTGTGGCAGCTTCTCCTAGTTACAATCCATTTTTCATGAATGACCAGAATAGAAATGCAGCTACTCCTCCTCCACAGCCATCTTCCATACAACCAGGAATGAACACGTCTGCTATGCAAGGCCCTCCTCCCACATATATGCACATACCTCGGTACAGTACAAATCCCATTACTGTTACAGTATCACAGAACCTCCCCTCTGGACAGAGTGTACCCAGAGCTCTACAAATTCTTCCACAGATTCCAAGCAATCCTTATGGGACTCCTGGGTCTATTTATATAAGACAAACATCTCAAAGTTCTTCAGGACGACAGACTCCTCAGAATACACAGTGGCATTCATCGCCACAGGGCCCAGTTCCACATTATACTCCCCGTCCTCTACCTGTGTATCCGCATCAACAGAACTACCAACCTTCTCAGTATTCTCCTAAACAACCCCAGATCCCTCAGTCAGCTTTTCGATCACCACCGGCATCCCAGTGTCCTTCTCCCTTTGGGTCTCCTCAGCACCAAGTTCAGCCTCCTCAGTTGGGTCATCAGAGTTCACATGTTTTCATGCCTCCTAGTCCTTCAACTGTTCCACCCCATCCGTATCAGCAAGCATCCCAGACTTTTCAAAAACAAGGCGTATCATATCTTCCTCCTTTTGCTGGACCTAGTTTATCCAAAGGTTCCATGAATAAAATAGAAATTACAGTTGAGCCACCACAAAGACCTGGGACTGCAATGAACAGAAGTCCTTCACCAATAAGTAATCAACCATCTCAACGAAACCAGCACCAGCTGTATACAGCCACTACTCCTCCTTCAAGCTCTCCATCAAGAGGTATGTCAGGTCAGCCCAAACCTCCATTTAGTGTTAATCCAGTATATATTACCTACACTCAACCAACTGGACCTACAGGTGCACCAACACAGTCTCCTCGGGTAATGGTATCTCAGCCAAACCCAACCATTTTTAAAATCACAGTAGGTCGAGCACCGACTGAGAATCTTTTAAATTTAGTGGACCAAGAAGAGCGTTCTGCAGCACCAGAACCTATTCAGCCTATTTCTGTAATCCCAGGATCTGGAGGAGAAAAAGGGAGCCATAAGTATCAGAGAAGTTCTAGTTCTGGATCAGATGACTACGCTTACACTCAAGGTAAATGTTTAATCCTGCTTATTGTAAGATGCATTTTCATCTTGATTTTGGTGCATACTGAGGATTTTTGAACTTGTACAGAGAAGAACAGAAATAGCACCAAAAATCATCTAATGAGAACATTTGTCCTGATTTCTCATTTTTTTACCAAATTTCAGTATAATACATGAATTTTGCAGGTTTTTAAAGTTTCTATTATTTTGATCTTAGGGGGATTTCTTAAATGTAAACACTGCAGCTAAGAAGAGTAAGTTCATATGCTCTGTGGCCGTTTTGTAAATGTTGCATTGAAAAACTGTCATAAATTTACATGTGGATTTTGTTTCTTTGGTTTTTTTTCCATACTCGGGGATGCTTCATAAAACCTGAAGTACTGACTTCCTCAGGGAATTTGAATCAGATTTGTTTTAGATTGAAGAGTATTAAGAGTAAAAGAGGAGAGGTAGGATTGCAGCCAGAAGTACTTTGGGTGTCAATACAAATATATTTTTATTGTTGTTTTGAAAGGTATTACAATAATTATTTTGAAGAACTTAATCAAAAGTTCAGTTCTTCCACTTACAGTTTTCAAAGAGAAGCAACAGGTTGGCAGAAAAATTTTAGGATGTATGTTCTACTTAAAGATAGAACGTAGTATTAATGTCATGTATAAATGCAGAATTAAGTAATTTTATTTTTAAAAAATGGTGAAATTTGACCTTTACCTGAAAATTACTTTGATCAGAGTAATGGGCTTTATAGATTTGAAACATTTAAAACTTAGCAGATGAATGCGTCGGCGAGCATTTGGACAAGTCATGTCAGTAGCAATTATTTTAAAAGTCTGCTTTTTCTTCTGTTTGTTTTTTTTTAAAAAGAGGCTGTTTCTGCTTTGCTCTGTCTAGCCTTCCTTTCACTTTAGAGAGCTGAAATAATGGTTATAATGCTGCCCTGGAGTTCTTGTTTTCTTACTTTGCTTTGTGTCTTCTGAGCTATTCCAACTCATCAACAAAGCTGTTCTCTACCTGGTAGACCCCAGCAGCAATGTTATGTACAGAGAACAAGTACTAGTAGGTCTGTAGCTCCAGGACCATGTGCTTTGTTTGGTAGTGTTTCTATTACAGCTTCATGAAGGATTCTCAGTTATGAGAGACAACTATAAGTAGCTTCACATAACTGAGAAAAACATATTCTGAAATGTAGAAATGTGTTTATATATTTGATAGCTTTGTGTATTTGAAAAACAAAACCAATAAAACTTGTTTGTATATGCTTTTTGGAACATCTGCCTTTGTGGCAATAGCTTCCACAACTGGGACTTACACTGCCTTTGGTATTGCTGCACTCTGATTCTAGATAGAAATAAATTGTAGAAGAATAAACACTATATTATTTACTACCACAAAGAACTAAAAAGAGTGTATATTTAACAACTTAATAGATGGAACAAGTTTGTCTAATTTTCATTTGAATGTGAAACATGGTGAAAAGTATTACCATAAATCCTTTCTAGTGTCTGTACTTCCACTGTTCGTTGTAGCTTGAGTCACGTTTGATGAGTTATATTAGAATATAATGCAAAGTTATGTAATGTTGTCATATCAGATGTTGAATTGGAGGACTCACACAAAGGCAAGGTGGAATATCTTACAGCTTTTTAAAAATTCTGTGATCTCTTAAGCTACTCAGTTGACTTAATGTTACTTCAGAAAATTGGGAAGTTTTGTTCAGTAGTACTAGTGCCTGTACTATAAAAACATCTGATATTCTTGGATAGGATTTGCAGTGTTTATTCTTTGGTCATGAATTGGTGGGTCCATAAAAAATCCAAACTATAGTGCTACTTTTTCATTTTCTTTTTTTTTTTTTTTTTTTTCCACAGAAGGCTGACATAGTAAAAAAAAACAACACCACAAAACAGTGACATTTTCATGCTCCTGGATTTTAGTTGTTTGTTGTTTTTTTTTTTAATCCCAGTAAGCTCTGTCATATTGTTATTTACTTTTCTAACTTTTATTGTAGCTAGTATGCAGATATTCTCAAGATATTATGTGTTTTTTCTTTGCATGTGTTGGATAGGGGTGAAGAAGAAGGCAGGTGCTGGCTAGTGCTTTGTTTTAAATAGCATTTTGCAGATTCTGTAGTGTCTTCATAAATTTGAACAGTTTGCTGAAATACTGTTACAGGAGCAGGGTGCTTGTCTGAATACCTATAGCAAACTGCTGTCATTTTTCTCAGTCCTAGTAGACTTCAATTGGGTAAAAATGGCCAGGTCAGAAAGTGCTAAGCATCATACTAATTAACTTGACCAGTTTTGCATTATGGTGAAATGATGAGAAACGCTCTTACTTCAGAAATTGAATATTATTTTCTAGCTACTCAAAATTGTGTCTTTCTTTGTCTATTCTGGGAGACCCAACATCAGCTTGTGGCAGAGAGTCATAAATTTCAGTACCATCACAAAAAAAAGTCAATTATTAACAGCAGTGAGAGGTTAGAGGACAAGCGAATCAGTTCTGTTGTAGACTTAAAGATTTGGAAGCACCTGAGCTGCCTCCACTTTCTGTTTTCTGATTTCTCTAGTCTGTTTTATTAGACTTCTATAGTTTTGCCTTTGAGGACTAGGGAAGTGATAGTATTGAGAATTACAGTACTCTCTGAAAAGCTAAGGCTACTTAAAGTTATTATAGCATAATCTGTAATAACAGGGAAAAAAACCACAATTCAGGACTGACATTTGGCTAATGTCTTACGGCTTGTGTGTCAGCTGTTATGGAGCACTGGATATGAAGTATGCGTTACCTTCTGATTTTACCTCTGGTATTTTTTGTATTTTTTTAATATTTTTTTTTTGTCAGTACAGTATTAATATAACTAGGTTGCTGTTTCATCCTGAGAAGCTGTCTCCTTGTACAGGTGCCTTTGTATTTTTGAGACGAGAAAGACCAAATGCAAAAAAAGAAGCTTTGACCAAAATGGTAATATCAACTTCAAGTTACTGTCTAAAATGTGTTTTTATTCTGGATTAACTTTGTTCTAAATTGTAGTTCATTTGGCATGAAAGCATCTTCACACTGATATTTGGCTGCATGTTTATGATCACTTTTTTTTTCCAGAAAGGTCACTCATGAATATTATGCATAAGTTAAGAATTAAATTTTCCAGGTTTTTGTGTGCTAGTAACTATTTCTTCCATGTAAAATATTAGCCTTGTTGTTACATCAACGAGCAAGGATGGAGAGATTAGCAAAGGAACTGAAGATTGAGAAAGAAGAGCTTGAACGCCTGAAAGCCGAAGTCAATGGTATGGAGCATGATCTAATGCAGAGGCGGCTTCGGAGGGTTAGCTGTACAACTGCAATTCCAACAGTAAGCAATTTGTTAGTATTTTAATTCAAGATACAAACCTATTTTTTTTTATGTTTTCATGAAATGAAATATTATACAAAAATATTTTTGGGGTACAAAATCTTCAATCTTTGGAGACATTTTTTGTACGTTCTTGGGTTTTCATAAGCCAGTTCTTATAATTTAAGAAACAGATATGTTTGTTCTTAATGTTTACAACAGAATTTCTGAAACTTGTATACATATGCTTTTCTGCATCACAGAACTGAGTAGTTACTTTCATAACAACCTATAAGAGTGTATGTCTGTTAAAAAGAGGCTGTCGTATACAGCTAGGTGTTCATGCAGCAAAGTTCCACTTTTTTTTTTAAGGCATTTTGTTATATTGAGTTATTTTGTTGTTTGAGTAGTTGCATCTCCTAGACAATCTTTTTCCCATTTGGTATGTTCAGGATGTGCCAAGTAACTTTCAGTGGCAGTATTGACCCAAATTGTTGACACCTCTCTTCTTTTCTTTGTTGATTCTTCTCTCTGTGTGACTTTCACCTGCAAGTGACTCTAAGCCTAAACCATCTGTATGGCTCTGATAAGAAAATTAATCTGACTGAAAAATAACCTCCACTTTGTGCAGTCGTTGCCAAATCAGTTCAGACTGACTTGCTGTGTTGATATAAACAATGCATAGAGATGTAGGCTGAAAGGCATAGTAGGGGTGTTAGCTGCTTAACTATCATGTCTGCTGTATGTCTTACCTGTCTCAGGGAAGTATTTGGCAGGTATGTTCCTGGTTGGAATGCAGAGGCACTGTCTGAGTGTGGAAGGATGAGGTTAGGAAAGTCAAAGCCCAACTGGAGTTGAATCTGGCATGGGATATCAAAAGCAAAAAAAAAGGGGGCTTTGATTGATACATAGATGGCAAAAGGAAGGTTAGCAAAAATGTGTACTCCTTGCCCAACAAGACTTGGCTACATAGGACATGGAAAAGGCTGAGATACTGAATGCCTTCTTTGTCTCAGTCCTTACAGGCCATTCCCCAGAGACCCTGGGGAATATCTAGAGTAAGGGTGGTATACCCTTTGTGGATGAAGATCAGGTCAGGGAATACTTAATCAAAGCAGTCATGAGTTCATGATCCTGGATGGGATACACCCATGAGTGCTAAGGATGCTATCAGATGTAGTTGTGAGGCCACTCTAGATAGTGTTTGATTGATAATGGTGTTTGAGAGAAGTGCCTGAAGACTGGAGGAGAGTAAATGTCACTCTTGTGTTCAAGAAGGAGGACCCAGGGAACTTACAGGCTGGTTAGCATCAGCTTGATACCTGAGAAGGTGATGGAGCAGACACAATCCTGGACACAATTTCCATGCACATGAAGGACAATGAAGTGGTCAGCATGGATTCACCAAGGGGGAGTCAAGCTTGAACAATTCCATAAACTTCTAGGTTGAAAAGACTGGCCTGGTACACGAGGGGAGAGCAGTGGTTCTTGTTTATGTAGACTTCAGTAAGGCTTTTTCAACATTGTCTTTTGTAAGATCTTCATAGAGAAGGAAATTAATTATGGGCTGGGTGATCAGACAGTGAGGCAGATGTAAAACTGGCTGAACAGCCAGGGCAAGGGTGTGGTAATCAGTGGCACAATGTCTGGTTGGAGACCAGTAACTAGCGCTGTACTGCAGGGATCAATACTGTGTCTGATCCCTTTTAAATCTTCCTTTGTGAGCAGGATGATGGAGCAGTGTACCCTCAGTGACACAAAACTGGGAGAGCTGCGCTGCCATTAAGAGAGACCTCAAAAAGCTGAAGAAATGGACTGGCAGGAGGCTCATGCCATTCAGCAAAGGGGAGTACTAAGTTTTGCTCTTGAGGAGGAACAGTTGCATGCACTGAGGACCAACCAACTGGAAGGCAGTTTTGCAGAAAAGGCCCTGGGTCGTTCTGGTGGGGACCAAGCTGAATATGACAGCAGTGTGACAAAGAAGGCCAGTGGTATCCTGAGCTGCATTTGGAGTGTTGTCTGCAAGGAGAGAAGTGTTCCGCTTTCCCTTTTTTATTCAGCACTGGTGAGGCTGCACTTGGAGCATGGTGTCCAGGAGTGGGCTCCTCAGTACAAGAGGAACATGGTCATACTGGAGAATCCACTGAAGAGTCACAAAGATGAAGGGACTGAAGAGCTCTCCTGTGAGGACAGGCTGAAAGAGCCAGAGCTGTTCAACCTGGAGAAGGCTCAGGGGGAATCTTATAAAAGTATATAAATACCTGAAGGCAGGGTGCTTTTTCCACTGGTGCCCAGTGACAGGACCAGAGGCAATGTGCACAAACTGAAACACAGCAGGGGGCCCTCTGAACATCAGGAACCACTTATTTTACTGTGTACATTACTGAACACTGGCACAGGTTGCCCCAGAGTGGTTGTGGAGTCTCCATCCTTTGAGAAGGTCAAAATTCATCTGCTGTCTGGGCAGAGGGATTTAGCCAGATGACCTCCAGAGGTCCCTTCCAACCTGAAATGTTCTGTGATTTTGTGACTTGATGCTGGAATGTATCGTAGGATAGGATTGTTATTCCTGCGTACATGTTAGTAATCAGCACTGCTAGCATTAAGAACACTTTGTATTCCAGTAACTTGTGGTTTCTTCATGATATGCAACTATAGGACTTAAATACTTGATTATTCTTTTAAGACTAGGTACTGTCTTACAGTATTGAACAACATAAATACACTGGGTTAGAAGGTTTGGCATGTTGGAGCTTTGTAGTATGGTGCAAATAAACAAAATTCTGACTTTGTTCAGTTATAATCAAGTAATAATGTGAACTGCAGCTCGTATTCCATTTCCTGATAATGTAAAAGCATATAGCAAGTTAGGAACTTACGCAGAATTTTTTAAGGTGCATGGTTTTCACCATATCTAATCAGCTATATCTTCTTACTAATTAATTTTAATATTATGTAACTTGTTCATTTTTGTTGGTTTGGTTTGTTTTCCTCCTCAAATGTCCATAGAATAATGTTTTTTGAGGGATTGGGTTGGGGTAACAGGACAGAGTGAAATCTTAGCTATTTTTTTTCAGTGTCTTACCTATACTGTTTCTAATAAAGCTGTTAGAAATAACATTGCTGTATCTGTGTAATGTCGTATAAATGACTGACTTTCCCACAATTACTATTTTGGGTTGTTTCTCTCTAGCCTGAGGAAATGACCAGATTGAGAAGCCTCAACAGACAGCTCCAGATAAATGTTGACTGTACACTGAAAGAAGTTGATCTCCTTCAATCTAGAGGTACAGAAACAACAGTTTTTAAAAAGCGTGATATAAATATGAGCAGGAGTCTTGATCTCCTTGAAGGGTGGGAAGGCTCTACAGAGGAACCTGGACAGGCTGGATCAATGTGTCAGGGCCAACCGTATGAGGTTCAACAAGGCCAAGTGTCGGATCCTGCACGTGGGTCACAACAACCCCATGCAGCGCTATAGGCTGGGGGAAGAGTGACTGGAAAGCTGCCCAGCAGAAAAGGATGTGAGAATGCTGGTCAACAGCTGGCTTATCATGAGCCAGCCGTGTGCCCAAGTAGGGCCAAGAAGGCCAATGGCATTCTAGGTGAGGCCACACCTTGAATCCTTATGTTCAGATCTGGACCCCCCCACTGCAGGGACAGACATTGAGGTGCTGGAGCATGTTCAGAGAAGGGCAACCAAGCTTGTGAAGGGTCTAGAGCACAAGTCTTAGGAGGAGTGGAGGGAATTGGGGTTGTTTAGCCTGGAGAAGAGGAGGCTGAGGGGAGACCTTATCACTCTCTACAACTGAAAGGAGGTTGTAGCCAGGAGCCAAGTGGGTATTGATCCTTTCTCCCAAGTAACAAGAAATAGGATAAGAGGAAATAGCCTCAAGTTATGCCAGGGGAGGTTTAGATTGGATATTAGGAAAAATTTATTCACCGAAAGGGTTGTCAGGCAGTGGAACAGGCTGCTCAGGGAAGTGGTGGAGTCATCACCTCTGGAGGTATTAAAGACATATAGATGTGGTGCTTAGGGATATGGTTTAGTGGTGGACTTGGCAGTGTTGGGGTTTATGCTTGAACTTGGAAGGTCTTTTCCAGTAAAAATGATTCTGTGATTCTAAAACAGTATGTGTTTAAATGTGGACACTTGGACTCTTGAAAGTTCTGTTTCTATTATCAGTATCAACACCTCCAACTGGTGTCTTTCAGTTGCAGCCTGATAAACTTGACTTGCAAGTATTTCTGTTGGCCAAGTTAAATTACATTCCCAAGAAAGTGATTTGGTCAAGAGCAAATTTTTAAACAAAATACCCTGTAATGAAGGTTCATTACTTAAATTTTCTATGTTTTCTGACAAATGCTCTGACCAACTAATACAAATCAGAACTAGAGATTGCAACCAAGAAGTTGGCAAACAGAAACCTACTTCATGCTTTAAAAATCCTCTTTCTGCAACAGACACTTGACATGAATACAATCAAATAGATTAGAATATGCATAGTTCTCCTTTTGTAGCAAGAATGTGTCCCACAGAATGATTTCTGTTTTCACATATTTTTAAAGCACTACAGAACATTGAGTGGAGGTGGTTTTTCAAAATGGGATTAGTGTGCTAAAAATTACACAAAACTGAAAATATGTGACAAAAGACTACTCGGGAAAAGCCTAATATATAATGTCATAATATAAAGATATATAAAGATATAAAAAGATTTTATAATCTGAACCCTTTGGATATTCATATCACTGGCATAGGTATGTAAATAGCCTTGGAGTTACACTTGCTTGCTTTTCTTTTCTGACAGGGAACTTTGATCCGAAAGCCACATGTAACTTCTATGATAACATAGAGCCTGGTCCTGTTGTGCCACCAAAGCCATATAAAAAGGGTAGGTCAATGAACAAGCATCGATTTATCTAATCTGGATTGAGAAAGCTTTTTGCTTTTTTTTTTTTTTTTTTTTTAAAACAAAACAAAACCCTCTGCTGACAGGATGCAATTCTAATTATTATAACTTTTCTTATATATAGAAACAAAGCCAGAACATTGTTACTTAAGTGCAGTAAGCCTGGCTACAACTTGTTTTCCTCAGGCAAATGAGTATTTTGTTAATATGTTGTTTGTAAATACTGTTATTTACTATTAGAAAAGGAATTGAAAATATACAAATTTCCACATTTACTTGAGCTTCCTAATTACATTCTTTTTTATGTTCTTGTAGGTTAAAAGCTCTGTCAGGTGCTTTTGGCTGTCTTCTAATGCATGTTGTTACAGTTTTATAGTTTAGTTGGGATCTTTTATGCAAGTTGTATTGGTCACAGCAGCTGTTTAAAATTTGCATTTATATTTTTTATATTATTTTAACTTGACTCGTCACACTTCATCTACTCTTGTGCAGAGTTTGAATTTCACAGTAGTCCTGAAGTTTTAGCACAGCAAGAGCTTCAGACATTTTAAGGAGCAAGACAGAACACATTTACTCACATCTGTCTAAAGAAATGTGTGCCACTTGTACAAGTTCATTACTCGTTTTTGAAATTTTCTGTGCTAATTGTATAATGTCTAGGATTCATATCCAGCTGAGGACACTTCAGTTTTACAGAAGCACAGGAGCTCTGTGTTCAATTTCACTTTTTGCCCAGTGAAGATTGCGTCAGTACACCCGGAGTGGCTCAGCTCACCGTCAGCAGACACCTAGTGGCCGTGGAGCTCAGTAGCACTCTAAACGCCCGTAGTTCTACTGGTGATTTCAGGGCAGATCCTACTTCAAGTATATTCTGACTTTTTTTTTTTCCTTCCCAAAATTTGTTAAAATAATGGTTTCAGATGTTAGTGGAAATTTTTTAATGCCTTCTATCTTTCTTTTGAAGTAGCCAATCTAGGATCCGGTGCTCTAATATAGAGAAGACAGTGGTGTTTTCACTGAAAATGTTATGTTTGATAAGATTTATAATATTTTGTCTCCTCTTACTGTAACTAGAATGTACTAAAATGATTAGTGGAAAAGTGTCACGGTTTGACTCAGGATCGGCAATTAAACCATACACTTTAAATGGGGTCCTGACCAACAGAAAGCTTATGAGCAGATTAAAAAGGAAAATTGGCTTTGTCCTGGCTCAATCCAGGACAAAAAGAAGTCACTCTACTGAATCAGTAATCATGTAGTCTCTCCAAAAATAAAAATTTTGAAGTAATTTCAAGTTGCTTATAAGCACTTCACAAAAGTTTTTGTAGCTGAATTTTTTAATTCATATAAGGAATTTTTTCTCCCTCTTTCAAAGCAATTATTTTACCCTTCAATAGAATTAAATGCTTGGTATGTGGAAATGTAAAAGAAAGAGAAGGCCTAGAACTACTGCTTGTGGTTAAAAAACCAAACCAAACCAACAATACTGTGACGTGTTCCTTGCATAGGTGATAGTGTCCAGAAAAGACAGTAATAGCAGGTGAGTAGCAACATGAAGGCAGCTGCCTGGATTAATGTTAAATTGCAGTGGTTATGTGGTTGATTTAAGGCACTGCTGCTTCATGATGCTTGAAGAGAATGTCTTAAATACACTAGCCTATTGGATTTATTTTTTCAAAGCAAAATAACCTGCAAAACTTGCATGATATAAATTATTTTATTTGGCAATTGGCAAGACAGTGTCTTACAAGGATTTGTACAATTTTTATGGCTACCTGCCTCATTTTGTCTGTCAGCTTATGAGAGATCAGTTTTAGGGGTGTTGTACTGTATTCTGAGCTTGGCTTTTAACACAGAACTGTCAAAATAATATTTATTTTCTTAAAAATTCCATTTCCATCATATCCAGCTGTTGAAGGTGCGGGCAGACAGATAGGGATGGGCAGACAAGGTTCTGCTCTGTGCTGCTATCTGGCCAGTCAAGGTGAAATCAGTCTAGTGCCCACACTACTTGCTTAGAAGGAATTTCTTGAGGTCAAGCTCTGTTAATGTGACTACTCAACTTCTGGACTGGAGAAGGTTTGCATCTAAGTAAGGCGGTTACTTTTATTTTCTTTAAATATGTCTCTGAAGACAAATCTAAGTACTATTTACACTAACTTTGTCATCAGCCATCTGCTAGATTTCTTAGCAGATGACATCAGTGTCTGCACTTTAAATTACAAATTGCAGTCCTTTTTTATAACGTAAGTTCTCGTTTAATTAAGCTGTTCTACAGATATTTGTTTAGCAGATGGGTATTTTAACCTTACCTTCTAGGTATGTGTGCTAATGTTGTTTTGAATATTAACATTTTGTAAGATGTTGTGTTTCCACATTCTAGAATTATTTGTCACTTTTAGTAGATAACCTAAGGTCTTCAAGTGGTGGTAGGAATCATTGGAAAACGGAGTCTTTCTGTGGGTTAAAACTTAACGTATGATTTACATGCATACTGATTTTATGAATGGAAACAGACTTAAGCCCTGCTTTACATACACACATCCCTGTTGCAAAACCATGAGGAAGAAAAACAATAATTTGTTTTGAAACAGGCCTACTGTTTTATTTTTATATTGTATTTTCTTCAGCCTAGAAAAATGCTGGAAAAAAATGCAGAAAATGTGACTTCTGTTTGAAGGCACTAATTTAAAAGTAGTCTTTCAGTTGAGGTAAAGTAGGGTTATTGGAATTCAGAATTTGGTAATAGACTGACTTCACAGGTTTACATACAGCATTCCTTAAGAGAATGATGTTGCAGTGCCAGTAACAAACTTTTCAGTACCTTTTGAGCTATTAAACCTTTAGCAGTGTCAGTGACCTCAGTGATGACTGCTCTTTGTATTTTTAATGTAGTATGGTTAAGTGACTCTTCACAGAAGTTAAGTACTTCAAATACTCAGGTTTCACAAACTGAATTAGATATGCTTAAGCAGATGACCTTTAATGTTGCCTAAGTGGGAGGGTTTCCCCTTCAATTTTAGGATAGCGTGTCTAATGAGGTGACAAACAAGTAGTATAATCTTTCCTATCATCCTTTGTTTTCCTTTGGCTTTTTTTTAGAGCACCAAAACAGCTCCAAACAGACTCCACGGACTCAGCCAAGAGATGAAGACTTTGAAGGAGCTCCATGGAATTGTGATAGCTGCACCTTTCTAAATCACCCAGCACTGAATCGCTGTGAGCAGTGTGAAATGCCACGATACACCTGAAAATCAGGAAGGGCTGCATTGAGTTGAAAACAGGCTCTCAAGCCAACAGCTGTAGAAGAAGAAGGAAACATGGGGAACCTTTTAGTCCATCTGCCCAGCCTTTGCCAGTCAAGTCTTCATATTGCAAGGGGTGGAATAATGCATTAAGATGTTTCTGCTTGTGCTACACTACAACTAAATAAATTAAGGGTGAAACTATTTCTTACCCCATTGCAGTGAGCAAAGCAGAAAATGAAACCTGAAAATGTAAAAGGATTAATATTGGGAAGAATGTATACAGGAAAGCAAATAACTACCGGTGTTTAGTCCTGTGGTTATACTTACTGCTTAGTGGCTCTGAAAAAAACCAAACACCTGTTGTTTTTGGTTTGGGAGTTTTTTGTTGTGTTTGTTTCTTTATTTGTTTTTTAAATTATAGGACTCTTAGTAATGGTGTGAAATGTTACACTCAACCAGAAAAACGGAAGAGCCAGAGCTGACTTAACCTGGCCACAGCTAGCTGGAAAACAAAGGCTCCCTGTGCTTATAGATTGTAAGCTACTGAAAAAGAAGACAGGTAAATGCAATGTATAAAAAACAAGGAGAAAGGTATTTGTAATTGCTGCTTTTTTTCAGGGTAACTTATGTCTACAAAAATTGCTGTTTGAAATAGTAGCCTAAGGTGACTAAATGAGAATACTGTATGAGTGTTACAGAGAGTTTAATTAGAGGTAATTTTTTACAATCCCTTTTGCTTGTGCAGTGCTCACTTGGCTGTGTCAACACTGGTAATAAACTAAGAATGAATTCTACCGTATTACAGATGAAAATACTGCTGCATGCCTTCATTAGACTGTCATGTTTCAAAGCTAAAAATATGCTTTTATATACAACAATCTTCTGAGCCTGTGCTCTTTAGCAGCACAGCGACATATGCCAAACACAGACTACTCCAAATTTGGTTTGGAAGACTTGAACTCAGCCATGGTTGTGTATGAGGAGAGTGTGTACCTAGTTCCTTAGGCCTTTTCAGCTTCCAATTTGTGAAGAATTCATTATGTTTACAGCACAGAAGGTACTTTGTGCCCCAGTTCAAAGTTAGCTGAAAAAGAATTAATCAGTTAGCTCTTCAGTAAAGGTTTATTTGCACATTGTTAATAAACCAGCCTGTATAAAACAGCAGATGCCAGATCCTGAAAAATTACACACTGCATCATTTTAATTTTGGTAAGAAAATATTTGCTGCAGGTTGAAAAACACAACTTGCAACTGAAAAACATACTGGTACTTCGTGATATATTGTGTTATAAAGGTGATGTTCAATTTGTTTGAATGCTTCAGGTTGCTGTAATAAAGCACTCGATACTTGTGAAATCCAACTTGGGTTTGGGCAGCTGAAAGATTGTTACTCACCTGTGCAACTGCATTGGATGTTCTTGTGTACTGGTCAAAAGCTGGTACAGTGCATTAGAGGTTTTATAGTATAACTCTGTCAAGATTCAGAGACGCAATCAAGTACATCAGCTGAGTTATGGTAATTGATTTTGCAACTGTGAGGCAAAATGTGCTAACTGAACCTTACCAGAAGAGATTTAAACTACTTTGTTTTAAATCTTTCTTAGCTCATTGCAGCCACATCCATATGGTCAATTACCAGAATTCACTTGATGTGTGATAACATATTAAGCTGTGGTAGAACAATCATGTGTCTGAATTCTTACTTAAAATCAAGAAGCATTTATAAGGGATGAGTGGAGGAAAACTCATCTTGACTGCATTGCTCAATCTAATGTCTTCTCTTGCTGCAGTTTATAAAGATAACAGTAAAAAATGTACTGTGATCTTAGATGAGGAACCAATACTTTACCTGGCATTTTTCAATATGTTATTGCACTAATTTAATCTTTAGCATCATTTTAAATAAGCTAAGAGATCTCTAGCAATCAGTGTGCATGACTGATGAGCAAAACAAAGACAAAGGCATCAGAGATAGTTTTCCTTCCTTTCTTCTTTCCTCATGGTTTATATTTCTGTGTGGGGAGCTCATCTCATGTGTAAAGGGGTAAAAAAAAAATTACTATCAAATTAAGTTAGAAGGCAAATACTAATTTTGTTCATATAAGTGGACAGTATGACAAAACTGATATGACTAGAAAATAGATGGGTAGAGGAATCATACCTAGGATAAGCAGCACTATTGCTGTTATCAGCTGTATAATGAATTACTCAAAACAATACCAGTAACTTCATGAGCTTCTATCGTGATGCCTTTGCCTTTGTATTATTTCATTTTGCTGTTGATTTGTACTTCTGTTGAAGTTCTAGAAGCTTTTGTTTTTGCTGGAATTACAAAATGATAGCAACTGAAATAACAGTCAGCAAATGAGAGTAGGTGTGTAATCCACCAATACAGTTCTGCCATTTTTGGACAGAATACATGCTACTTTTGAAAGTGGGTGGGATTCATGCAGTCCAGTAATTCCCTGAGCTATAATAAACATAAATGGAGACTTGCTAATCTTAGCCATAGCTTCACCAGAGGAAGAGAAGGAAGGCTGCCCTGACAGCAAGATACTTTTTGGAAGATGGAGTGCTGTTAAATTGCAAATTAATTCCTTCGTACCAATAATTTTACTCCAGTTTTTCAATTACTCTCATTTGTTGCTAATACAAAAAAAAACCCAACCCTCTTCTGTTATATTCTTTTACTTGTAAATGCCCATACTCTAATAGTAAAGACATTACATGGTGCTTGAATATTTTTAGTTTGATAGAATGTAAATTGTGCTTTGAATAATGGAAGATCCATTTTCCTTCTGAAAGCAGGTGATGCTGTTCACACCCCAACTGAACTGTAGATTATGCCAAAAAGATTGGTTTATGTAATATTTATTGAATGCACATAAAACCCTAATGTCAGCTGGCATACAAAATGCACTGTATTGTATAAAACTTGTGTGTGTGTGTGTGTGTGAATGGTGGGATGCTGATGCCATTGTGCTGAATTACTGCACTACTTGTGTTTTCTTATTTTCCTCAATGATTGAGCTTTCCCTCAACCATGCTACTAGAGTGGTAGAATTTGTAACTGACTTGGACATTCAGATATTCAGTATGATTTCACTGTTCATTGAGATTTTATAAAGCTTATTTTTTATTTACTGCGCTATTAAGATGAATTCTCTTTAATTATTAAATACTACTGTAGTTCTTTAAAAGTTTATTTAGAATGAGGCTTGTGGAAAATTATTCAGAACATAGTAAACCAAAAGAAATCCTGAACTGTGGATCTACTTTTAATTTTATGTAACTATTAGTCTTGTTTGGGTGAAGAGGAAAGGGGTGGGAAGTCAAGCAAAAGGAAGTACTTTGTAAAATGTAGTCGTAGATCAGATTGAGTTGTGTATTTGTGTGTCTGTGGTATGTGTGTTTCCCTTGAAAAATGGGAGGTGTGGTGAAAAAAGGTGTAATAATTCTTAAAAGAGCTGGTCTCAGAACTTTCTGATTATGATATGCTACTAAATCACTTTAAAAAAAACCCAACATAAACAAACCTTTTCTTTCAGTTATTTTATCTGTCCCAGTTATACATCTCTGATTTCAATTTCTAAATACTTTTAATATTGATTGTAAAACCCCTTGAAACCGAAATAAAAATACTTCAGTTGAAATGGGGAGAAAACAAAATAAAAACAATAAAGAATGTTTTAAAAAAGAATGTGAGAATATTAAATATGTTAAAAACAAGCTTGTCATCAGGATGATACTTTTTGTTTTAAAATACAGTGGTGTACCCTAGAATGTGAAAATTACTATCCTGAGGAGAAGCAGACAGGTGACAGGTGGACATAAACAATTCATCAGCTTGTTTGGTACCACAGAATTTATGTGGTCTGTACTACAAGTGACTCTAAATCCCATAAAGAAAGAAGACATGCACAGATATCACATCTCGTAGTCAGTACTGTCTCTATGTGCTGCTCCATTTGTTTTGTTTCAAAATGTCAATATTAGATGAAGCTAGCCATGACTGAATTTTTCCAGATTTCTTCAGTTTGGGGCTTTCATTGCTGTTTATGTCCATGAATATTAATGCAAATGTTTTTATTGGTTTTGAATAATCAGAAATCAATGGAATTAATGCAATATTATAATCCTGGATTTTCAGTACCTTTGAAACCGATTTTAAAAACCTGTGTTCTTGAAACTTATTTATGGTGGCACCAGTGTATCTATTTCCATATTTCCTGCTGTGTGAAAACCTGTTAAAATTTTTCATTAAAAAAGGAAGACACGATCTTGTTTAATCCTGTAAATATGGTGTCTACATTCTAGATTTGTGTATGCTGTGAATGAACTTATTACTAAGAGATGAAATTGTATAAAAGCATTCAGAGGCTATGCATGCATGGTACCTCCAGAAAGTGCATACTCCAAGTTGCAGATTCCTGCAGAAATAAATTAATAAACTAAGCGAACATCACATCCTGCATTTGTTCTTGTATGTAGTAGGAAACATTTTTTAAAATATAGCCTTGGTTTTTTGTAGTCTTATTGTTTCTGGTCTTCTCCTTGAACCCATAGGTATAGGAAATTTGCTTCAGAGTTTTTGAGGTTTTCTTTTTGATGGTCACTATGATTCTCATTAGGCAACTACCCATTACTGAACTGGGGTCCAAATCCTGCTGCTGGGAATGTGGGCAGCTTGTAATACCAGGACTTCCATCTAGAGAATGGATATTCTGGGTAACTTCTGGTGTAGGAACAGGACACCAGAGTATGAAGTTGGGCTCATCACTTTTATTTTTGAACAGAAAGTTGTTACAAGGTAGCAGTATCTTTCC